GCCCTAGGATTTATGAGTTGAAGAAGCAAATTGCTTCGATTTCGCAATCAAACAATTCTGTTAACTCTTATTTCAATAGGCTGAAAGGACTTTGGGAGGAATTGAACAATTATAGACCTGGAGTTGAAAACACTGTGTATAAACGTGAGGATCAGATCATGCAGTTCCTCATGGGATTGGATGATCAATTTTCTGGTGTTAGAGGCCAAATTTTATTGATGGATCCTTTACCAACACTAAACAAGACTTTTGCTCTTGTATTACAAGATGAAAAACAAAAAGATATTACTGCTAATAAGCCTGCTACGTATGATGCAGCTGCCTTTGCAAGTAAGGCGTTACAGAGACCTTTTAATCAGAGGTCTACTTTCACCAATCCTTTTCAAAGGAGAGAGAGATCTGTTTGCAGTTACTGTGGGATGCCAGGTCATATCAAGGGAAAATGCTACAAACTTATTGGTTATCCTCCTACTCATCGATCTGGTTTTAATTCTTCGCTTGATAGAGAAAGTGCTCCTAATCATCGATCTGGTTTCTGTTTTTCAACTGGTAGGGGAAAACCTCCTATCGCCAATGCTGTAGGGCAAATACATCAAAGTCAAACACCTAATGTTGATACCTCTGAAATAATGAATTCCCTATCGTATCTCACTTCTACTCAATGCCAGCAGATTCTGGCTATGATAGTGCCTCAATTGCATAGCAAGAGTACTCAAAATGCACAGCCTCAGAATATAAGTTCATCTTCTGCAACAGATACTGATTCATTTGCTTTCTCAGGTAGTCGATTTCAATTTGATAATGCATCAGTATCTAGTTCATAGATCATAGATACTGGTGCATCTGAACACATGGTTAATTCAGTCAAAAGTCTGACTAATGTGACAGATATGCTTGGTACTTCTGTGAGGTTACCTAATGGTGCTTTAGTTGCAGTTACTCATATTGGAGAAGTGAAGTTGTCTCCTACTTTATGCTTACAAAATGTGCTTGTTGTGCCATCTTTTAAATTTAACTCGATATCTGTGAGTAAGTTGATTCGCCGCATCAGTGTTATCTGACTTTTTTTTTTCATGACATTTGCTTTATTCAGGATCCTTCAACATGGAAAAAGATTGGGGTAGGCAGACTTGAGCATGGATTATATGACTTCCAACAATCAAATACCAATTCTGTTCCTGCTGTTCAACTTTCACACCACCAGCAACATCTTCAATCTGCTCCTGCTATTCCTGCTGTTCTCCTTTCAAATTTTCCTTTTGATTGTAATAAGCATGTTCCTGTTTGTAATACCATTGACGGTATTGATTTCACAATGAATATTAATATCTGGCATTGTCGATTAGGACATTTGTCCACCCCTAAACTATCATTTTTGAATAAATCTATTCCTGATATAGATGTCAATAAAAACCTGCATTGTCCTATATGTCCATTGGCTAAACAGCAAAGGCTGTCCTTTCCTAAAAGAGGCA